AAACATTAAAGTAGGAAAATTCGACGGGGAAAAGAAGAGCGATTCACAGATGTAAAAGAGACAGACACAAAGGCAGAGAAAAGGCTAGATGAGTACTGTGAAAGGGGTCGAATATGACATGGAGTGGGGCCATGGTAGTTAGAAGTCAGAAGTCAACTGGCGATTAATAGACTTTTTGCCGTATGAGTATACGTTGCCCAGGGTGCACCACGTGGAGGTAAGTCTATCGCACACCCCGTAATACCATCATTGGATCTGATATTACCTTTTTAAAATAACAACGACGGGGATTATTTTGCTACCAATACCAGCCCCCCCCCCATACGTAACGTGTAAGAGATCTGAGCTATATCGTATCGATCGATTCTAGAATCTGCAAACACACTAATTAAGATTTCAGCAACATGCGCTCGTTATTGTGAACTGTAGATCAAAAAAAGATAGCGCTTACTTATTTTTACCAATTTAAGGCCCTAATTGCCCATAAACACTATTGCTTCTTAGATTTTTATTCCAAACAAGAGTAATTGATTTACAACCCCACTATCTTGTAATTGATGCATGATACCGAAAATAAATTAATGCTTGTCTTAACGAGGCTCTCTCTCTCTCCCACCCCTCTCCTGAGTTAAAACATGGACTCCAAAGTCACATTATGGATTAACGCTTACTGAATAACAAAATCTAAATGGATCAGCCCATTGCATGAGCAATTATTAACAAAGAGACAGAACCAAAATCCACCTCTTAGCTCCAAGAAACACCTTGAATTAGTAAATCGTTTAGTTAAAATTAATTAAGTGCATTGAGCAGAGGTGGGTGTTAATCTTGCATTCATCAATTGTCAATAAGGCGTTCATAGCATGTAACCAATTAAAGACTGCGAATTACCAAGACCTCGGTTACACAGACATGTAAAAAGGAAATATCCCCCTATTCTGAAATCTCAATTATTTAACTCCTAATCAGATTTTTCTAGAACACAAAAATATAAATTCTTAAGTGGAAGAAATCGCTTGCAGTTACTTAAATCAACCGAAAGTTATCTCTAGCTTAGAATTCCGAAAAAAAACTTTTTGACTATCTTTTTGCCGCAGATCGAGAATGCATTTCAGAAATAAGTCGCCTCCATTAGCCATACACAAATGACTGGTGGGGGTGTGCGATAGACTTACCTCCATGTAGTACACCCAGAATAACGTATACTCATACGTCAAAAAGGTCTATAAACTGGTAGTTGACTTCTCATTTCAAACTACCTTGACACCACTGTATGTCATATTCCACGACTTCCATAGTACTCTCCTTACCCTTTTCTCTACCTTTATGTCTGTCTCTTTTACATCTCCAAATCACTCTTCTGTTCGCCCTCTCGAATTTTCCCACTTTGATGTTCCTCCAATCTATGAAACCCGAAGTCAACTAAAGGGCTAATGGTAACTATCAAAACGCCTGCCATATGATATGAATGAATGAATGCCTTCATTAGCCATACACAAATGACTGATAAGGACTCCAATGAGCCGAGCTTAAGCCTAAATCGGCAGGTCTTTATTTGAGACACTGAAAATTAGGCTACTGCTACAGTGAGGTTCGAAATTGAACAAATTTAAGAGTAGAACCCAACCATTTCTTGGTGAGCCCTATATGTGGGTGCCTAAAGAAACCACTTGAATGAAAAACTTGCGCATACACCGCGTAGACAACACAGTGTCCCATGGATTCAGAGATAACAAAAACCTTAGAAGAATGCTTCAAATAGCAGCATACGCAATAATTCCATTTCTCTGGGGGTCTTGATATAATCATAATTTCAATAACACTTTCAAGATACTTAATTAGACTGCTTGGTTTGAAGTACTACTTAAGTGGCCATTTATTCTACCTACATTGCAGAATAGCAAGGTGGATGTAAAGCCAGAAAACAATCATTCAACAAAATTCGTTCATTGAAAATATGTCGACAGAGAAAGTTGCGACGTATCGGGTGGTATTAATAACAAGCAAGTCATGGTAGCAGGTTCGATGCCCACTGGGGCATAAGTAGCAATCGAGATGGCTGACCTTATTTGTTGACCTATTTAGGAGGACAAGTGAAATTGGATTTCGCTGGAATGCATTGGATACTCTTGCTCCAATTCCAGAACCAAACACTCTCTTCAATCTGTCTCGTTGCGTTATTGCAGTACCACATAATCACAATTATTGTACTTAAGCTACCAAAGTACCTCTTAAGCTATGCAACACTTCGCATAATCCCTCCGTGTAAATTCCACTAAATGACAGACATCTAAGGAAAGGAAATCAAGCATATATAACTCTTGCATTTTAGAGTAGGAAAATACATAAGATTCAAGAATTAAAACACAAAATAGCCTGTCTAGTAAATCTAGAAGGCAAATCAAAATCAGCTTCCCCCAATCTTAGCACAAGATATATAGTTAAGAGAACTATGAATGTACAGAAAACAGTTCTTCTCAAATTACTAATCGGTGTGGGTAAATGGAAGATGGCAGGCATTGAAGAGGACCATTGCCACGAACGGACTTGAGAATACATTTTTCCATACTTGTGTAGAGTAAAGATGGATGGTGTCATTGAATTCCATACCCCCCCCCCCCACCTGATAAGAAATTCGATTTCTACCTCTACCATTTTTTATTAATTAGATTTAATTAATAAGGTAAGTCATTTCGATCACTGTTTGTACACCAATGGTCCCTGAAATCATGGTCTCCGAATTTGCTAACGATCAGGGTAGACAGAGTTGACAAGATTTTTGAAATTCACCATACTAACACGGCGTTAAATCCTATCAGTGAAAAATATTTCTGGAAGCTCTGTAAGTCTAGCTAAGAGATATGCCTTTATAAAACTGGTAACTTCCAAGGAATTGGCAGGAAAGAGACATAATTTACAAATCAGAAGACTGCGAGTAAAGAAAGGACCGAATGTGTACCGGTCACAAGCAAAAAAATGAAGACGAGAGAAGGTCTTGATTGTAAGGGAGCTGATAGAGTGGAAACAAGGTTGGCCAATCAATAAAGTCATGCGACAACAAAGGTAGAGAGCGATCGACAGAATGGTATAACTGGTTATAGGGACTGCGCCTCGCCACCATACTTTAAGCTACACCGAGCAAAACATATAATCCGCTTGCAAATTAATCTTTTTTTGCAAAATTTACAAAGTGCTTCATAATTAAAACGCACATTTGAATGCGTATCGATCGCCAATAAGCACATTTAAGAATTACACCAAATTTCAGCCTAAAGCATCAAATACCATAAAAGCCCCACCCCTTCCCCCCCAATAAAAACCTTATAATTCAATCAACATGATTATGACGTAACCCCGAGAGTTCACTATGTAATGCAGGCGACAAACGAAAGTAACAACTCCAAAAAAACCAAGGCAATAATTCCTGCATCGCGACAATTGGAACACTTAATTCAACTTCGCAGAAAGGAAAAGATACCTGAAGAGTCTCTAACAAAGCATTGGTTAAAGACTAACAATCGGTGGAAACATGTCGTCATTCCTACAGCCACTCGTTCGTCAATACTCCTTGAAAGCTGAAATAACTATCATCCAATTCAACTCCTTCATAGCCAAGTGTTAACTCCAACCTTCACAGGTCTATTCTCATTTCAACCGATTTTTGCCGATCGATTCCTACAAGCACGTGCTTCTCCAGCTTCGCCGATGATCCAAGAACAGGTTCCCCCCCCCCCCCCACACACACACACACACACACCAACACACACGCACGCGATACTAAATTCTCAAATACATAGCGAAAACAAGATGAAAACAACTCCAAAATAAAATAATTGTTAGAGGAGAATATCTTAAGCTACCCTAAGACAGCTCTGTTAAAATCGAGTAATTCGCTTGGAATCAAGGAAGGTAACCTTGAATAGTTATTCCATAAAGAAAAAGGTGAATTGAACCAACACACATTCAAGTAAACGATCCAGGGGTACTGAATAGTGACTAAATAATTCAAAGGACGATTGATTGACCGGGAACGTGTTAATAAATTATTTACACGCTTTCAGATTGGAGATGTGAAACAGAACATAACACGGCTTTCCTAAACAACTCGAAGCAAGTGAGCCACCCATACCTGCATTTTACCTACCTTAATGCCCCCCCCCCCAGATGCAATCTTGTAAGTAACTTAATACTATGCCAAATCATGCTGTTTGGATGAAAAATGAATAAAATGGTCAAACCAATTAAAAGATGAACACCAGATAGAGTGGACGAGAATTGGGTCCAATTAAAGAGACAATTCATTAAATTTAGATTATTAAATGTGAATTAACCGATTTCAAAAATGTCATGAGGTGGGACTCTACGATACGAAGACGGTGTTCTTTTGATAACCTCAACCTCAGCATTTATTGGATCTACTGCTAGCCAATTTCAATAGCTCAATCAAAATCAAAAATGTCAGAAATTTTGCATTGACGTGGACAAAGATTGCATTACTTATTGCCATTCAATAGGTACACAGACAAAACCCTATCTGGAAACTTTAAACATTTACTACGGGTATTATTTGAGGAATGGTTAGAAGCGGAAGACTACCCGAAACCACATCCACCAAGTTGGTAAACTTTTATGAATGAAATTTGAAGATAATAGCATAATTTGAAGATTTAGAGCTTTTGAATATGATAAGCCATCTGTTGTTTGACCACGTCAATAAATCGGCAATCCATAAAATGAGACTCAGATCGAAATGCCCACACACAAATATGACTTAAAATTTGCCATATATAGCGTGTGTATTAGAAATAAAATAAGTAACTAGTTAAATTGCACAATATAGAACAGGCCACGAAACCGCTATTAAGAATCCGATTGTGGTTAGGAACCCAAGATGATTTGAGAACTTCATCAATCGTTCAGCGAATAAACAATTATTTGATCAATATGCTTGGCAATGAAAATTTAGATCTAAAAATGAAAAATTCATTGTGGGAGTTATTACCAATTCAGGTGGGCAAGTCTAGAAGACCAGATTTATTTTTCCCCCCAATTTAAACCTTCTACAGTCTGAGGATTTAGTAGTAATAACAAATAGGGGTAAAGTGGACATAATATAATAAAATCTATAACTTCACCTACTAGCAAAATTTAGCACTGACTAGCCAGTAATAATAAGGGCTTCATAAAAGCCCATTATACTCACAAAAGATTCGAAGATAATAATAGCTAATGACTTACAGTTTTTGAACATGATAGGCGGTCATTTGATTAACAATGATCTTGTCAGGTTGTAACGAGTCATCTCCTGCTCTAACAAGCAAATCAGCGTCAAACGGGAAAGCCCTCCTAAAAGTATCCTCTCCCAGGGCTTCCATGCCATCACTCAGGAGTTCAGCATCGAGACCCATATCCCCCAGAGGATCACTATCAGGAGGTGCAATAAAATCGAAGGTCCCCTTGGGTGCTTGATCAATACGAACTAAGCGAAGGAGGTAGGAAATGGAATAATCAGCCAACCGAAGACATCGATTGAGATTTCGGTAGAGGCATGGTTGAAGACGTGTCACTAACCACTGATGATACTGACGGGCCGTAATTAGAGACAACGTGTAGGCATTATGAGCCAAGTGTAGTTTCACTGTGGCTCCATCTAAATCATTGACTGCTGTCTCAATCGCTTTTCGTTTATTAGCCATGCCTTTTTCTAAGAGAGAATTAAGTCTAGTTCGAAGACGAGTAACGTTATCTGCATACTTAGCATACTTCCTCCAACATTCTCTAACGTCGGATTCTAATTGGGAGGAATATGTCTCTAACTTGGTATCAAGATCGATATAGAGAGACCTGAGTCGTTGTAGGGTCTCAGAAACCAATTGAAGTTGATAAGTAGTGACTTTCTTGTGAAATGAAGCTCTACATGTAGCGATTTTAGCCCGGCATTCATTAGCGTCGACAAAACATTGGAGAAACTGTTTTGCCTGAGAGAGGGAAGAACTTTGAATGCTGTTTGACAGAGGAAAGGGTGAACTTTCAGTGGTCATTTCAGAGATACCTGAATCAACATTATTATCACCTCTAAAAAATGAGCTGGGAACATTCGATTGACTTCCATTACAGCTGCCTTGTGAACTATTTCGAAAGTATGAATCGGATTTTCGGGATTTGCAATATTGAACGGTATGCCAAAGAGCATTAGAGACTTTGTTCTCAGCCTTTATTGCCCGATTATGGAAATCCAAAAGATCGTCAACAGCTTGAATACTCTCATCTATTTTCGCAACGCACAATAGACGCGACTGCTTTACAGAGACGATAGATATTGTAGGGGCGCCAGAAGTTTTTCTTTGACGATTGGAAAAGAATGAAATAAAACCCGAAGGTTGACTAGTACTAGATCGCTCCGGAATATCTGCTGTTTCAGGTGTTGAAAGATTCACGGCTATTTCGGATGATCCCTTTATTGAAATTGTGGCGGGGGATTGAGAGTAAGTCTCGGCTTTGGGTTGACCGTTATCAGCGCAAGAACTGTTAAGGGAAATGGTGGGAACGCTCCTATCAAATTCCATTACGAAGGAATAAATATGCCTGGATTTCCTGAAAATGCGAGCAAGTGATAAATTAGTAGATGCAAGAAGTAAATACGAACACTATTAGTCGCTGCAATCACAGCCAATAGGGGAATTAAGCAAATTAGCCAATTGAAAATTCGTCCAAGGTTATTGCGTAAATAATGCTGGCTTATACTCCCTCAACTATATAACTATATAAAAATTTAAATAAAAACAGCACATAAATTCCACCACAAATATGATTTGAATTTTTATTTGTCAACTGGTAATCCATCTTTTTAGAAAACTGAAATTGTAAAATCAAAACAATATCTTTTAATGATATAAACCCAACAATGCCTTCATATAACTAGATTTTCAGAGAGGATTAAAAGTGCATCAAATAGTTTTACTCCAGGCTATATCACTTAGAGCCATTTGTTGTGACTTAAATAATATTACGATTTGTAAATTTAATTAAATCAGTTTAACTTAACGAAGTATTATATTATAATATTATTTAATTTAGATTTTTAATTTCTTGATCAAAATTATGGTAATTAACTGGGAAATATCTTTCACCCAGCAGGACATTAAGACAGCAACATGATAATTAATCCTTTAATTTAGAAGCAAGTTTTTTAAAATGCACTGCAATGATATGTCAGTAATTTTTATTAATTGTGTTTGAATTTAATCATGGTTGAAAAGTAAACTAAAAAACCTCTGCTTTCGTCACGAATCTTTTAGTAATTATAAATAAGAGCAAGAAAATTTTATGCTTTATATTTACTTGTTCCTAATATTAGTTATTAATTTTCAGTAACAAGAATCGTTTGCAAAGCATCAAAGATGATTGTGTTGCATCAATAAATATTACGATGATTATCAATAAAAAAATATACCCAAAAAACCGGTTATAAAATTGTATTTGACATAAAGCAGGACTCTGCACCTATATCAATAATCAAATTCCTATCTAAAGGTAGAATAATTAAAAATATTAAATACATAAATAATGAGTCAGTTAGAATTTGCATAATTTTTATCTTGCGATTTCGGTCAGAGAGTGAATCGTAACCTTTCTGGCCTCGAAATTAATCTTAAACAGGAGCTGAACTCTAAATAGCACCTTGGCAAGCCTATGATTTATGTTTATGGTCTTAAATAAGTTATTAATTTTTACTTGACTGGCGATTTCAGACAATGTCGTGAATTGAATTTCTTTCTAATTTAAATTCTATGCCCAACCAACCAGAATGAACTCTTGTCTATAAATAGGCCGTGGGTGACATAACAATCATTGCTAATCATAGAATAAACATTGGAAATTATTCACGATTTTGCAATATGAATTTAACAATCCATTTTGTACATTTTTTCAGTTATTTTGAAACAATGCTTTCCTTTAATAGCACGTTTTTTGTGTAAGGTGAACTTTTAAATTTGTAAGAATTAAATGGTTATCGTCATTTTATAGACTAAAACCAATTTTATTCATGATTTTTTTAATATTTCATGACTATAATCATGGAATCACTTCATTTTCCAGTTCAATAATCAAATTGATCAAGTGCTCACATGAAGACACGTTAATAACTTCTTTTAATTTCTTTAAATAAAACTTAACATTAGCTTACATTTCTCGATTCACAATAGCCTCTTTCAACTTGTTCTCTCTTTACAAATGGTAAATGAAAAACATTTGCTTGTTATGATTTTCTGCGTGTTCAATTTTTAATGTAATTTATATAAACATAAAGCGTTAATTGAATGCAGTGATGGAATATTAACCAAATTCTAACGAAAAAATCTTTTAAATGTTGCTATATAAATGCACGTATTTAAAAGGCAATTTCAGATGATCAAAAAGCAAAATATGTTAATTTTTCCAAACCAAACAAAATTAATTAATGTCATTATTGAATATATCTGTAAGGGTTTAAAAATTGTCGTTCAATTTAAAACATGTAGCTTAACTCAAATTCGACCTTACTTTAATTATATCTCTGTAAATCTGTAAAAACTCGAAAAAACTCATTTGTTTAGATCGTTAACCTTGCATTGCATATTAAGGTCATGCAGAGATATGAAATGTCGAATAGAATTTGTAGCTGTTTTTTGTATTATACTTTTGATCATTTTTCGGTTATTTTACACTGAGGAAAAGCCCCAACTGAGGGGATGTTTGCCTAATTTTACTCGGTCCAAATTACTGAATCTTGTTGGTGATCCTATCCATCCCAACAAAACTACTGTTTTTGTTGTAACTCCTACTTATTCAAGGCTGACGCAAAAAGCTGACTTAGTACGACTTTGCAGTACACTTAATGATGTTAACTTTGTCCACTGGATTGTTGTTGAAGATTCGATAGGAATGACCGGGTAAGTATCGTATCATTTGAAATTCATTTAACTTTTAATTAACAATTATCGAAAAGTTTCTTTTTCCCTATTATTACCCTTTAGTTTTTGTCAGAGGTACCTTAAACTCGTTTTTATTTATTCACGTATTTTTACCATTTGGTAATATTGTAGTTGCAATTTTGCTCAAGTATTTTCTTTTTGTGCCTTCTGCAATTGTGGAATAAACTGTATTTGCAGTACAAATATACGCAGTCTCCTTTTTCTGAATTTTCATATTAGGTGGACTTTTTACTCCATCAATTATTCTATTCTGAACCGAATATCTTAATTGTAGTTTTATTCTCTCATATATGGATGTTTGCAAACAACACATTGAAACATTAAATTATGCGTCACGTTTACTTTATCCATGTCTTTATTTTGTTTAAAATATATCAATTTGCAATCCAACTTTTGATAGTGATTCGCTCACACTCATTTTTGTTCCAAAATTTCATTTCTTATTCTCTTGCTTTTATCTCACGATTCTCTCATGTTGTGCAGATGAATGCACTTTTGCTCCATTGGCATTATTTCATATTAAATCCATCATTAATATTTTACACCCACCTATTTTACGGTACTTTTGCGACACCGAATACTTTCCTTATTTTTCCTTGATAGCCTAAAAATTGTGTGGTTTTTTGCATTATCAATATCAGATATTCTTAAATACAATCAACCGTTATACGAGATAGTAATCTTAACATCGTTGTCCTTTTCCTTTCTTGAAATTACTTATCTTTGTCCATTTAACCCTCATCGTTTACTATGCCTATTAACTCTTGGTTGTACGTTGATTAGATCGTATTTGAGAAAATAGTTATTGTTAGTTTCTAGGATTGATGAGGGTTATCCATAATAATATAGTTGGTCATACTTCTCTTTAATTTTAATGTTAATTAAATAATGTACTGTTTATTGTTGCCTTAATTACTTTACTCATGTACATGTTTGTAGATCAGACGTGTTACCTACTTTTTCACTCTGGGACATTGCTAATATTTCATCTAATTCGTTTAAATTCTAGGCACTTAGCGTTAATTGCCGTGGAAAATTAAATTTTAATTTTGGCACCATAAGTTCACCTTAGCTCCACTTGCAATTCGGGTATATTTGTCCTTATAAAGCATATTTTTTTTCTAAGCTTCCGCGAGCATTTGTGTTAAGGGCTGATTTTCCCTTTAGTCAATTAAATAAAAAAGGCAGCTAACTTTTTCAAAACTACTTGCATTCCTTGAGGCAGTCAGTTTTCGAGTTAGTAGGGGATCCTAAATATTTCCCTTGTAACGGCCCACTTTCCTGAGCGAATTAGTATTACTGTTAACTAATGCGATTATGGTGTTTATTTAACTCACATCCATGGCGTTTTATGAGAACACTAACCCCTTCTCATTTTCTCATCGTCACAAATCGAACGTTTTTGTGCTTGTGGTTCCTGTGAAATGAGCCACATTTAACTATTTTGAGCACTTATTTCTCTCATTTCGAGTCTAATGAATATTGTTCTAATTGGAAGATTTAGTTATCTTCTACAGTTAACTACTTCAAGTAGACTCCGAGAAAATTCCCCCTAATCATATTCGTGGCTTTTAGTTATGAGAACCAATCAACTGAATCGGGAAAGCAAGAGTCTCTCTTTTGGCGGAAGTATGGGAGAAAGGAAACAAATCTACTTTACAGTTTAGCACAGTCCATTTCATAATTCTGTCAGAATGTTTTTCTTATTTAAAATCAAATTTTAACGAGATTTCATATCGTTTTGAATAATTTATCTATCAATAAAGGATGTGTAGAGCCACCTTTTATTTCCTCTTAGTATACGAATATTGTTGAATGTTTATCACGTCTAGTTCCTCTGAGATGAGGATTTGGGGCTTAAGGAGTTCAAAATTGACGTCATTGGTTATTTGCGTGCCAACAGCCTTGATTGGTTTGCCTTCATAATTTAAAAACAATCGAATTCTATTAGTCTTATCCTTCAAAAAATGTATGGCATCTACTAGCACCTTTGTTTTACTTGGTTTAAATATTCAAGCCTTGATAGAGTTTGGGGCTTTATGGGGCTGCTTGGTATAAGAATATCACCCCACCGCTCCAATGGCTCCATAAACAAATGGGTTTTGTAAGCGGTGTCTCAAAGGACGCGCTCATCAGTCAAGTGTGGCCACGTGTTTTATGTGCCCAAACAACAATGTGGCTTTCCTTGCGTGCGTACTATTTATTCCATGCACATACAAGGCAAAAAGTACAATTTGTCTTAAATACAGAGTTCACTTCTTTCCACGTCTCTCCTTGGTTCATTGCAACAACAAATCGTTTTGATGTAAAATGTGTTCAATTACAACCATTCCTATTTTCCAAAATGTTAAATTTTAGTTCTGTTATTTTCAAAGGCAAACTGGAGGGGGAGGGAGGCTATGCCAACACACAAGTGGTTTAAGGCTAATAAATCAGCCAGCTCTGCCCATCAGGAAGCCATTCACCTATATGATAAACACCCTGATGATAGATACGAGACACTTGGCAGAATTCTTGTATGTGGAGGGGGAGGGGGGGGGGGGGGGGGGAACAGGAATGGCATGAGACTTTTGTTTAGATTATTGATACAACTGCTACTGCTGCTGTTGGAAATGCATGCAAGCGGTTACTTCGCAAGTTGAAATTCGCTTGGCTCTATTTGTCTTAATATGAAAGAGAGGAAGAAATTCCATAGGCCTTCATAATTACTATCGTCATCATCATTGTCGTCGTCGTCATAACCCCCTCTTTTTTGCACTTATGACTCATCTTTCGCCTAGGCTTTCCACCACACAATCAGTACTTGTTCCGCCCCTTCGCTTCTGCAATCCTTAGTTGTGCAAAAAAAGGTGTGCTAATCTAGCCTTTTATATTATGAAAACAGCATCGGTAGTGCACGGATGAAATTAAGTGTTAATGGAAGGGAAAAATACATATTTTATCTTTTCAATGTAGGGAGGGAGGGGGGAGGAACATTAACAATAGCAAATAGCTCGTTAGTTAATCTATAAAAAGAAATAAGGGGGCAATGAAGGCATGTGACAAGTCACAAATCACGAATATGTATATTTGGAATAAGAACCATTGAGTTGATGATATTCACATGATAGAGAGATTTCACTTTATGATGGTCTGATGGTCGATTCGCACAATTTTGACATCACTGTTTAAGGGTCAGTTTTTTTTCACATTGTTGACTGATTTGCATTACTTCTGTTTGGTCGTATTATCCTGATTTTTTGCTTACTTGGCTACAATCAAGTCAGACGTGTTGGTGAGGCATCTGAATGACACTTTATGTTAATTTAATAATGAAAGAAGAAAGTGCAATAAAAGGATTAAATCCCCTTAAGGCGAAGAGTTGAAGTTGCTATTGGAGCCAATTTGCCGATTGTTTCAACTTGGTTGCGTTGCTTTAATATTAAACTGAGTCACAGTTTGTATTTAATACCATTTTTCATGCATAAAATTTATAATTCTTTTGAGCTTTTTTTCGTACTTGAACGCCTACACTTGTGTCAGCGTGTTATCAATCCCCGTTTGACGTATTAAAGTGCTTTGTCAATTAGTTCAAAAACAAAAGAAGCCACTAGAGCCTTAAATCAATTAACAATAGTCCTCTTCGCATGTCCATATACGGTCTATTGCCCTGTAAATAATGATTTACATGTGCTGGTCTCATTGGTATGCTGTTTATTCAAATATTTATTTATTTATTTCAAATGACAGGCGTTTTGTTAGCTATCATTAGCCATTTAGCTGACTTTGGGCTTCACAGAGGGAAGATTCATCAAAGTAGAAGAAAGTCGAGGGGTGGGAAACAGAAGAGCGATTCACAGATGTAAAAGAAGCAGACAGTCACAAAGGTAGAGAAAAAGGTAAGATGAGTATTGTGGAAGGGGTCGAATATGACAAGCAGTCGGGCCATGGTAGTTTGAAGTCAGAAGTCAACTGCCAGTTAATAGGCCTTTTTGGTATACGTTGCCCAGGGTGCACCACGTGGAGGTAAGTCTATTGCTCACCCCTTTTATTCAAGTATTGTGTAATCGTTCCTCACCTTAAAAAACAATACCTAGTTAAAACATCTGGTATTTTTTTAATTTATATTTATTAACTATTCGAGTTGTTGGCATTAACCAGTCCTCTATGTTGTACAAAAATAGTCAAGTTAATCTAAACATGTTTAATCTTTACCGCAAAAGCGTTTATTCCCACTTTTACTTCTAGTTGATTTGACCTTGGTCGTGTCAGTTCATGTTCGGATTTTGCCATGAAGGCTGAAGACTCCATACATTTACTTTTATTTACCTCACTGAAAAATAACGTGAAAAACTGAATCTTCAGTTTGAAAACAAAAGTTATTCAATTCATGCGCACCACGTCACAAGATCATTATCAGAAGAAAGGAGACACTTGGTGTTCGTATTGTCATAAGAGCAACACGAGTGAACCTCAATGCAATTCAAGTACGTACAATGATAGACCAATTTAATAAGATGAGAAGGGCCTACTTTATGGTGAAATTTCACGTTCCAGAATGCGCCTTCCTCATGCGAATTTAAGTGTCTTTCTCAATCGCTCTAGCAGGCTTTAAGAGCCTATCGAGTATAAATAATGAATATTATTTGGTAGGTTAAGTATTTGTACTTTTTCCGACTTCTATTTGCGGATGTGTACTTCGACACCTTAGGCTCCTTTGCTATCATAGGATTTTGATTTATAATCTGAATGTGTTAATGGAGTTTTTATTAGTCTTCTTAGGATGTGGACTATCTTATTCTGCCAAACAGTTAGATATGGAGTATGTAGCGAATGCTACACAAATAGACCTTGGCTTAATCTGCCCCAGTCCTTTCTGTCAAAGTCCCTCGGTATAAACTTGCTCTCTCGAAATTAGCGAACGGAAAACAGGGTGTGACGTGGTGAGCGTTTATTACATGTGTTGGCCGGCTTCCCATATGATAAACCTTTAAATACAATTAGCGTCGCTCTACGATGCATAAACGCGGCAGTTAAGTGGGTGGCAGATATTATGCACCTACCACCACACATTCCAGAATATTCTATATGGAAATAAGGTAGCTCATTTAACTGCCCATTTTTCATTAAAGTTAATTTTTTACCAGATTGGTATAAGATAAGATACCTTGAATCGTCAATTTTTTCATTTACATTATTTATTTGTTTTTTTTTCATTCCTATTCGATTAAAATTGATTGTATCGATGAAATATTTATTCATATCAAATGGCAGGCGACTTGATGGTTAAAATTAGCCCTTTAGTTGATTTCAGACTTTACAGAGGAGAAGGAACATCAAATTGGATAAAAATCGAGAGGGGGGGGGGAGAAGAGTGCTTCAAAGGTGTAAGAGACAAACACAAAGGTAGGAAAAAGGTAAGAAGAGTACTGTGGAAGTAGTCGAGATATTGGTATTTTGAAGTGAGAAGTCAACTGCCAGTCAATAGACTTTTTTGCCGTATGAATATACGTTGCCCAGGGTGCACCACGTGGAGGTAAGTCTATCGCACACCCCTCGATGAAATATTATTTGAACAAAATTTGGCGGTTATTTTGATGATAACCATCTCTTTATGGTACTTTATTCATACAAAATATTTTTTACTAAAGAAATATGCGAGTTTTTTTTGTTGGTCATAAAATGTTCTCTTTTTCTTCACGATTACTGCCCTTTAAAAGGTGATCATAAAGCAATGTACTTTTAATCGAGTTAAATCATATTTTTGATTAAGGCTGGAATTTCGGTCATGGCTAGAGGTCAAGATATTTGTTGTGGATTTTCAAGTAAAATCCTTCTTCGTATTCATGCAGAGAATTTTTTTAGCTGTTTCATTAGATGTACAGACACAAATTGTTTTCAAATGTGGAATTTATTGTAAAGATTGTTACTGTTATTTCTACTCAAAATCTTCATCTCTTTGCTTTGCTAAAATCGTTCCCTCTAAGAGTGGTAGGATCAGCTCTTAGTAATTAAATTGTGTCCCCAATAAGCCCTGAACGTAGTTGGTAAAAATTTGTTCCAATGCCGTGTCGGAATACGAAATTTAGAATTGTTGAACTTGAACCACTCATTTAGTAAACTGCACAATTGGAGTCCAAAAATCACATACACCAAGACTCTTCAATGTCCTGAGGCTGTTCTCGGTATTTTTGATCTGTTTGCCTTTGTCATTTCTCAGGTTAAAAAATTGTAGATGTTGTTCTTTACTATTAGTGATATTCCCCATAACAATGAGAAAATGGGAATATACAAGCTTTTAATAATGAGTAAGCACTCGAGTAAAGAAATCAATAAATTAATCCAACAGGGTGTAGGACAAGGAAGAGGATAGAGAAGAAAAATCTGAGAGAAGTCTGAACTTCGAGTGTCCATTTGTTTTTCCCTGTTTTTACAGGGAGTATGGCTCTCAGTCTATACTGTTCATATCCAGAGTTTGCTGGGCGAGGGGGGGGGGAAGATTGTTTAGGTTGATTCAATTCCTTCTTTCCTCTTATGGATTCCATTCATTTTCATCCTCATATAGCCGGAGTTAGCTAGATCATTTGAATCCTTTTCAAGTTAAGGAGAACGTGCTTGTGTTGTTGCGTAATAATGATAGAGTGTACAGCAATCTGAAATTAGTCATTTCTACTAATGTCACTTTTGTTTATTAGTAAATAGCTTCTTAGTAAGTTATGCTCATAATTTACGCTCTTTGCTTCACTTGGTTCTTGTAAGTGAATATAGATTTGTAAATGGATAATCGTTCATCGGCCACCAATATCATTATGGAGTTCATTTCCGACTTTGTTAATCTCCCTACGTGTTCTCGTGGGCTTTAAGGTTACCATTTAGTTCTTCTTGCATTATTCTATCTCAGTACATTCGTTTGTAGCCCACTAAATGGAATATTTATTTATATTAGATGACAGGCGCTTTGGTAGTTATCATTAGCCCTTTAGCTGACTTCGGGTTTCACAGAGAATGAGAAAAAGTCGATAGGGGGAACAGAAGAGTATTTCACAGATGCAAAAGAGACAGAGAGACACAAAGGTAGAGAAAAAGGTAAAGTGAGTACTGTGAAAGTGGTGGAATATGACATACAATGGGGTGTGGGCAGTTTGAAGTCAGAAGTCAATTGCCGGTTTATTGACTTTTTGTCGTATGAGTAAATGTTGCCCACCACACCACACCACACTTAATGGAATATTATGAAATGGATTCCTTCAAAGATCTCAATAATGGTTGTCATACGTGTATTTTCACTCTTTCAGATTGGTAAATGAGACGCTGGCAGACTGTGGTGTACCTTATACTCACCTCTTCGCAATGTCGCCATTTCGAAGACGGAAACGAGTTCGTGGTTCGGCTCAACGTAATAAAGGCATTGAGTGGATTCGCAATCACCCAGTACCAGCGAATGAGAAGGCCATAGTCTTCTTCGCCGATGATGACAATACCTATGACCCTAGGATTTTCAAGGAGGCAAGTTGGTATCTTTCACTTATTGTCAAACCAATTTGATAAATAACACCAACTAAATTTTATTTAAAGTTAGCATGGTAAGCAAGTCGGAGATGGTTGTCATTGATTTCCAAATTCGTTTCAGATTTCAACACTCACTTTGATTATAAGAGTTTAGTTATAGCCGTATCCTCCCTTTTAACCGACCTTGAACATTTCTGATGACCATTCCATTATCCGGGTGTGAATCGATAGGCACCAAATCCTTGACCTCTGTCTCAGTAGACGTGTTTGATGACCACTGAGCACATGGATCTTAATATAGTTTATATTGACGTCAGAGACGAATGTGCTATTTGACCCTTGTTGCCTATTGTCGTTCTTCAACTTGTGAACCAACCGTTTTACCACAATGCATTAAAGTGCTTTTGTTCTCCTTCCTCCACTAGATAGCAAACTTTGAATCAAAGATTAAAAATTGGTGTTGTAATTAGTGGCGCCAGATACCGTTCGATAGCCAAGATGGTTCCTTTTCAAAGGTGATTTACGTCCTTTGTTCTGAGCAAGATTTGTTCTTGCTATTTGCAAAAGTTAAATTTTGCTCGAAAAAAATATGGTGGTGCCAGTTCATGTTGAAAGATGACTAAACATTTTTAGAAATTGTTTTTAAGCCCTATTCTCTGTGAGCGAACGTTGGTTTTCATTCCCGAAGTTGTCATATTGAGACACGTTTATATTGTTTCTCAAACGCGTGTGCGATAGACTTACCTCCACGTGGTGCACCCTGGGCAATGTTTACTCATACGGCAAAAAGTCTATAAACAAGCAGTTGACTTATGAATTCAAACTACCATAACCCGATTATATGTTATGTTTGACCAACTTTCACAGAATCCACCTTGCCTTCCTCTCTGCCTCTGTGTCTGTCTCTTTTACATCTGTGAATCACTCTCCCTCTCCCTCTCGAATTTTTCTCACTTTGATGTTTCTTCTCTCTGTGAAGCCCGAAGTCAGCTAAAGAGCTCATGATAGCTATAAAAACACCTGTCATTGTTATAAATAAACAACTTCCTTCTCTAACTCCTATACTAACGCCCTCCCTTGTCCAAGTATCTGTCCTTTTTAAGCCCACAAACCCACACTCTTGTCGTTTGTCTTTTCGGACACTTCCCCCTCCTCTCTCTCTCCCGTATCTTCCGTTGACCGCACTGCTCATTGTGTTCTACCTTTTGGAACTACCGCTGGTTGCTATTTTATGCAGGTAGCTTCTTTGCTTATTTCCAATGATTTCGTAGCAACAAAGTTAATGGCATCAGTTCTTGCTACCCCAACTTCAACCAACTAGGGGCATCCAATTCGGCTGCCTCAAAATTTTGCTCTCATTTGATTCAAATCAGAATGCCAAGGTTTATATTATCAATCTTGGGATAATAGAGCAGTTCAACAGTTTTGTCTACTGCAGCAAAGTCCTCTTCCTCCATATTGACTTAGGGGAAAGTTGTTACCCATTTTCTCCGCCCTCATAGGCAAGCGTTTGCTAATACTTATCTTCGACTTCTGTTCTGGGTAGGCGGTTATATTCCCCTATTCCCTCCCTGGGTAGTTTCAGCTAGTGCAGCTAACCATGTTATGTGCTGTTGATTATCAAACCTGTGATTTGACCTACCAAGAAACAGTAAAGTAAGGTGATATCAAGGTTCGAAGAGGAGGAAAATTTAATAACTTCTTTAAACAAAGACTTTTCTCCCACCTCATAGACCCTGTATTTCACATTATTATCTAAAATCTCCTAAACTCAGTTTTCAGCAATTCCCCCCCCCCCCCCCCCACCAACCTCTGGTTTCGGTCTTTAATGTTAAGAGATGAGCTATTGATTGGTTTAATTTAATTGTTTTTTTATGGCATTTTTCTTTATTTTTTTGCTTCTTTAAGGTATTAAGATGTAGATCCTTTTTGTATCAGTAGCAATTAAAACCAATAGAGGTAGTCAGTCATTCAGTTGTGGTTTTCGCTTTTTTAACCCCCTAATTGACGCTTGTCAATTTACGTCAAAATGCTCTCTCTAGTAGATCCTGATATTGGTTACATTAGTCGTTTTTGGAATTTACCAGTCTCATAAAGATCACTGCCGCGTGCAATTGGTTCTCTTTATGAGATTGTTTTCAGTAATTATTCACAACTCATCTGCTACGCACAAAAATTCCTCACATTTTTTTTAAACAACCAATGTTACAGTAGGGAGTGACACGTTTCATCCTTGTGTGCGCAAAAGTATTTTTAGTTTGAGTGATTTAATCAGGGTGAACAAGTGGACCTAAACTCCCGCGGCTAGAAATTTTCTGTTAAGGTGCAAATGTGAGCTTTCACAACTAAAACATATGAAATCTCAAGAAAGCTTTGTGGCACAAGATCCGCCTTTATTATTGTATTTAGTATTATAAAATGTTTTACTTGCTAAATAGCGTATTTTGAAGCCTGAAAAGTGAGCAAGCTCTTAGATAATTATTATACCATTCAAAACCAAAAAATCAAACGAAACATAACAGTTTATTAAATGGACTTCACTTCTAACTTTTATTACTGTTATTATTTATGTTATTAGTCAATTAATTCGACAACCCTTGCTGTATACATTATTTATTACTATTTAAATAGGCTTTAACTTGTGGTAGAAACTATTTTTACCTATTCACGTTTGTTCGTTATGGTCTGTTAATGGTGATATTTGCGGTTTGTGATGCAATTTTAAATCTATAATTTAAACGAATAAAATTCATAAAAAATAATATTCTTTCTATATGCGGTGGTGAGTTAACAATGCTGGATTTTCAAGAATTCAGTAGGATTTTCTGCTATACATATCCTCAAAATGCCTAGAATTATATCATCTGACCGACGTAGATTTACCTCCACGTGGTGCACCCTGGACAAACATATACTCATACGGCAAAAAAGTCTATAAACAGGCAGTTGACTTCTGAATTCAAACTATCATCACCCCACTCTATGCCATATTCGACTGCTTTCACAGTACTCACCTCACCTTTTTTCTCCCTTTGTGTCTGCCTGTCTCTTTTGCATCTTTGAAGCACTCTTCTGTCCCCCACCCCTCGCGACTATTTTTAACTTTGATGTTCCTCCTCCCCTCTGCGAAGCCTGAAGTCAACTAAAGGGCTAATGATAACTATCAAAATGCCTGCCATTTGATATAAATAAATATCACTTGGCGGCACGCCTTATAGCGTAATATAAAATAACAGAGTAGGATTATAGTAGCAGTTCTGTTGTTTAATTACTTTTCCATGTTTAAAATTAAGTTTTCTTGATGTGCCGTGTTTATTAAAGCGTTAGCATTGGGAATTATCCTTCCATTTTAAAATCTCACCTGGAAATGAACTCAATCACAATGACTTTAGTCTACCTACTTGTCTGTTTTACTTATTTACCAACTCCTTGAATTTCAACTCTCCTATTAATACCCACTTAGACAATCTCTGGAGGAAACCGTTGATGTTCTGATTTTCGGAAATTGCAGTTGTCTTCTTTTAATTGATGACTGTTAATCGAGACTTCTCTTGGTGCTGTTTTTTTCCGGTTCCCCTTACCCTATCAGTATCACATCATCATGTCATTTAATTTGTTTAAACTAACGGCGTTATTTTAAACCAAATAAATAAATAAATAAATCTTGCTAGAGTTGATTGATTTTGAGTCAATTTGTGTTTGCTTAGTGTATCGGGTGTTTGAGCTCACTCGAACAATTTTATTTCCTGCTTTCCAGTTCCAGAATACGGAAACATTTCAATAGTTAATCTAAGTCAATGTGTTCATGTGGAAGTATTTGGTGGTTTTAAAAGTCATAGCACGAATTTTCTTACTTTAAATATTAAAGTGTACTGTTTTTTACGTAAATTTTTATATTACTTAATTAGCTACTGATAATGAGTAATGAAGCCTGGCGATGAACTTATTTGACATGCAATTTTGTCTTTTGTTTCAACAAAATGTGTCAGTTAATGTTGCTCTTATTGTACTCTTTAGATGCTCACGACAGAACTGGGTTCAACTTGGCCAGTGGGCTTGGTTGGTGGAAGTAAGTGGGAAGGCTGTATCACCGATCCCAAAGATCGAACAAAAATAATCGATTTTTGGTGTATTTTCCGACCGTGGCGACAATTCCCTTTCGACATGGCAGCCTTTGCTGTTAACGCACGACTTTTTACTCTCTTTCCGTCTGCCCAGTTTGACTATTTCCGAGCACTTGAGCAAGAAGGTGTCATTCTATCTCAATTAGGCTTTCGAAGTGGCTATGACTTGGAGCCTAAAGTCAATGGTTGTTCAAAGGTAAGAACTTGTAAAAAATATGTTACTGAAAAACACATTTCAGTAGGCGGGATATTACAGTTGACTTTTCACATTGTAGATACTGGTGTGGCATACCAAGACCAAGACGCCACCATTCTTTCCCTATCTCGGATTCCAACCTCCACCCCCAAGTTACCTGTAATATTATCAAAGGAAGGAAGATTTTATTTTTGTGCTTACAAGATCCCTAGCCCCTCCCCCCTGCACGCACAAGCGTTCACTATTGTAACACTCGAGCTCAGTCAATGTTGTGCGCTTGTGGCCTTGAATTTTTCTTACTTCATGCTCTTGTTTTTTTTCCTGTATTTCCAAAATTTTCTTCAGAACTCCCTTTCCATTAAATATTCACACTACTTGTACCTCCTCTTTCGCTCGACTTTCAGATGGTTTCAACTGAAAATATGCTCTTCCGCAGTTGACTGGCAATTATCATGGCAAGGCGTTTACTTCTTGTGAGAACAAAAATATTGACTTTAATTTGGGGTGATACTCATTTTGTACATTGTGAACAAATTAATAACAAGTGCAATGATTTTGTGCTCTTAATGTATTTAAGTCCGTATTTGGTTATATATTTATCAATTGTACTAGTTCGTATTGGTCAACAAGAGGAGTGGTGGAATGTGGATTTCTTCTCCTTGTTGTGTTATTTTTAATTTTTTAATTGATTCAAGGTGTTGGGTGGGAAAATTGAGGCGATACGCTTCCATATTGGAAATCGGAACTATTAGGCAGAACACTCTGATTGGTGACAAAATTTGAAAAAGAAGGCTATTATCTGCACCTCCGATGCGATCATTTATTTAATTCTTATCGAAGCTAAAATAAGGCAAATCGAACTTTGACTGGATTTTAATCCATTGGCTCGTCAATTTTTCATAGAATGCTTTTAATGAGAGGCCAAATCCAGTATTATGATGTATACTACAATTGTCAAGAGCACAAATAGAGCAAATTTGACCAGACAAGGATGGTTTTGTAATCAAATATTTATTAGTGCAATTCATAATCGATTTGTGAGCTTTGTTTCGAGTTCATTTAAATTTTGTTTAGCCGGAGACGATGGAATCAAACATGGTACTTTACTATTCAATATGGCAGAATATGATTGGTTAGGATATTGGACAACCGCTGAATTGGGCTTAATTTTAGCCTGTCTTGATCTCCCATTTTTATGACGCGGAAATTACCTGCCAATGATTTGGAATTGTCGATGGAATTAATACTTCACTTCCGGTGGACGGCACAGCATTACTTAAACTTCCCATCTGTTTTTACTTTTACCTGAAGGTTGTTATGGAGACCCTCGAAGGTTATCAAAAGAATGTATTGTGTCCGTTATGTTGACAAATTGGTCATTGTTTGGAACGAAAGATCACTTTACTCTTTGGAATGTCATTGATTGCTGATGAATGCCAAATCTTAGTGGACTTACTTAATCGAGGAAATACTATTGTCTTAAAATGGAAATGTAACTAAAGAAAAGGAGGCTGCAAAAAAAGGAAGAAATACCCCCCCCCCCCTTGATAAAGCTATTTTCTCTGAACGTATATTTTCATGATATATCTTAATAAACAGGCAGTTGAGAAATAATGCGATAAGAGTAGGTGAAATGTGCTCAATTGGCTGTACCACAAAGGTTAATTTATTATTTAAATTGGCAATGAGAGCCCGAATATCCTTAATCTTTAATTAGGCCAAAGTAAATATGCTATTTTCATTTAATCAGGTGAATTCATCCTGTGTGTGGAGCGCGCAAAGCAGTCATGGCTAAACGAAGGAAGGTGCGCCGCGTTACTTCG